AGGAAGCTCGGCACACTGATTGATGCGAGTTTCAGATTACTTAAAGCGTAAATTCGAAGCGGTTCCGTCGTGGTGATGCATCGTTTACTTTGGCATCGTCTGGACACTTTCGACGCTATAGGGGTAGCAAAGCCTACGCTATTCGGAGCTCGAAATGACGTCATAGCCACTGGGAGCTTAGGAAAGGCAGGGCTTGGCGAGTCCCGCTTTTTATCCCCTCCGCAGCAAACGAGATTGCGGCGTTAGCCAATATGGACAGCCGTGAACGGTTCACGCGTAAGCAAAAAGCGTGAACATAATAAGAAAAGTACGCCCTGCGTTGGTTAAGCTGCAGCCGATGCGAGCTGCAAGTCTTTCGAAATAAGGACAAGTGTATGGTCTCGCGGTATGGGTACTGGAAATGATACTCGGGCGTTGGGGGTATACGTTCTTAGGTTGATAAACACGGGGACATTTGGTTAGAGGATGGTAAACGTATACGTTACAAATCCGGACGCAGCCGACGCTGGGGGATAAGGGGACCAATCAGTGAGCATCAAAGCGCAGGTCACTAGACCCCCCCCCCCCCTTTTTTTTTTTATGATTGGTTCAGCGACGGTAGATCACATAGAGAACTATGACGAGCACCACGATGGGGCGCTCCTGAAGCGGACTGATCGGTCCTGTCAGTTTGTAGCGTTGCCGACTTCCGTCTGGACTTGAGGTGAAAACAAGTATAATTGCGTGGGAAACGTCGCTCCTCGTGGAAAGGATTCGTATTAAAAAAAAAAATTCTGGCAGTAAATTTTTAGTGCAATAGTTTTGCAGAATGTTTGCTGTAGTCACGGACAGCTCTAGAAACACGGGGCTTGGCGTGTTCTGAGGATCTTATCATAGCTCCTCAACCTAATACATCGCGCCAGTGCCCGACCGTAGAAGCGAAAAATGGCTGCGGATACCACTATAGTTGGTTGGCTTTGAATTGCGATAGCATTCGCCATGAGACTCACGACGCAGCTCACTGTGAATACAACGAAAAGTTTTGAGTAAACACTTTATTTCATGAATTCAAATTTCCCGCCAAATTCAGCGGGGAAACTGAATTGGCGGTCATAGGTCGTGATATTAATTTTTTCGCCAAATTTATCGGGGAAAGTGAATTGGCCATAGGTCGCGTACCGTCAATTTTTTCCCTAAATTTAGCGGGGAACCTGAATTTGTCTTTTGGTCCCGTGACGTCAGGTCACGCGACATCAATTTTTCCGCCAAATTTAGCGGGGAAACTGAAAAGAAGGAGGCCAGAAAGGTCCACAAAATAAGTTGGGGGGGGGGGGGGGGCGATTGATAAAGAATGCTATCGTCTTAAAAAATGTGAACGTTATAAGTCACGCCCTGCAGTGCTGTCAGTTACGATCATTTGGGTCGTATCTGTCCTTCTAGCGTCTTCTTGGCAGCATAGCACTCAAATCGGAAGGAAGCGTTCTTCCCGTGAGTCCTGTATATATCTACGAGAGACGTAAATATTTACGAACAACAAATTCAACAAACGCTTACAGAGAACGCGAGGCTAGCGCGCTATAAATACAACTCACGTAAATATCCAAATCGCTCAGCGAAGAGAAAACCGTGAACAGGTCGTGACTTCAAAGGCTACGTAAGGAAAATATCTATCAAAAACGTTTCGTTTCCCGCATAGTTTCTTTTTTCTTTTTTTTTATTTCGCTCGGAGGACGGAGATGTCGGCAAACGTATTATTTTCGGCTCTTCGTGCGGAACAAGATTTTTCGTTGTTGTCGTTGTTATTGTTCAACGTGAAATACTTTATAAAGGATGACTAAGCACTTTCCAGAGTTACAAAAAAAAGCGTCATACAAACAATTCGCTCACTGGCACTTAGCGGGAGAGACATCGCCTGTCAAATTTATCGGGTTTTGTTGACCGGTCATCTCAAATTCTGGTAGCCATTGCAATAGTGTCACTGCCGCGGCAGAGTTCACGGGTGTCTGGCACCTTACTCCCATTGACGCGTAATGAAACACGTTATCATAGTCACAACCAACGGCGTTATCGTCGGGACGCGCAGTATGAGTCCCGCGGTATATACGCAAACGATTGCACCAAAATTTGCCGACCTAAAAACGGATTTTCCGTTTGACGATTTTGCCAAGTATGACAAAAATACTATCGCTTTTTTTCTTCAATTTTGTACCCTTTAACTCATTTCTTAGGTAAATTCGAGCTTTTACCTGGAGCCGCAGATGACACTATTCACACATCATACCAAAGACACGGTGTTTGCAGCAAACATGTTGCCTCAAGCATGTTTAAAGTATGCTTTCTCCACACTTATGTAGGCTTCGAACATGTCTAAAAAATGTTTTTGTATGACCCATGTGACGGTCACTCATATACAAGAAAAAAACGCCTAAAACACTGTCTGTAAACTGCCTTTTGTAGGTTGTATTAGCAGTGTGACACCGACTTTGCAGTCTTAAAGGGACACTGACAGATAAAAAAGAAATATTTTTTTTGTTTATTATCCGAAACGATTGAAAACGATGCCTTGACAGTATACCCACGAAATTCGATACTTGAAAACTCAGTATTTGTGAAGTAAAAAAAAAAATGTTCTAAAAGCCAACATATGACTTTCTCGCGTGATCCGCGCAAGCGCAGTGACGTCAAAGATTGAGTCGTCCTGGAACTCGAGCTTCCACGTCGCGCCAGTTCTGCGTGAAAGGCTGCTTCGGCGGAGTAAATACCGAAACTACAGCACACAGAAAGCAAACCCAGTTGTCTTGACCGATTGACGATTTTCTTTTCAAAGTCTGGGAGGTCGTCGGACACCTAAAAGAGAGAACTTCGTCCGATTCCCCAACTCACCCATCACCCTCAGTGCAACATGTGCCGGGCGAAGCCAGCGCTGCCATGTTTTCCGAGGGAGGATAAAAAACCAGGAAGCGACATCACTCCGGACTTCTATTTTCGGTATTTCAAAAAGAAGCGCCGAAGTGCGTTCGCTATTGCTTCAAAACAACATGTTTTACGAATGCCGTTATTAAATATTATAAAAATGTCGCCTTACAAAGCTTCTAAATTTCACAATTTTTGACGTGACAAATGAAAGAAGCAAGGAGGTGACAAGAGAGAGAGAGAAGTGTGCCACAAAAAAAAAATAGGCGCGCGTGTTTTTTTTTTTTTTTAACATTTGGTATTCTCTCACTCTTCTTAAAAAGGCGTGGTAATTTCTTTTTTTTTTTTTCACGATGCGATATTTTTTTGTGTGTGTCTATGACTACAACAAGCATCGTTTTAGACAAAAACAAGAAATACCACCTTTGGGGTGTCAGTGCCCTTTTAAGTGACAGAATATTTTCATTCTTTTCTCCTGTTAAAAGTACTTACCTGAGCCGAGCTTTCCGGAGCAATTTTTTAGAGCCACTCTTGACTCGCTGCTCTTGACCACAAACTAACGATGTCTCTAGGTGCCGGTCTGAGGGAGTATTTTTGGAAAAATCGTGAGGCGGACCAGAGGCGGGTTCGCTGCCCCTTTCGAGTACAGGTTCTGGCGCATCCCGGAGTCGTATTTCCGGGCCTGAAAGGCAGGCACACCGTCCGTTTCACTCGAACACACTCCTGACATTGATGCTTTAGCCCCCTCCCCTGACTCCGTTTCCTCGACTTACTGCAGTCCCGGACCTTAAAAGAGCGTTTGAGAGTTTGTTGCAATGCAGAACTTAATGCCACGGTCCCCCTGTTGCTGACACAGAAACAATGAAACAAGCTGAGGAGGACGAGCGTACCTTTCATGTGTGAAATGTATGTTCGTCGCCCCTTGTCCCGAGTTTGTTGTATTCTTTTTGTGCTAAGTCAACGTTTCCAACGCGGTTAGCTTCACACTGTTCGTATACGTCATACAAAGAAGGCACGGTGTTTGCTGCAGACACAATAACCGAACTACCCCCGTGGGAAGACCACAAGCTTGTTCGAAGAATGTTTGCTTCGTACGTACGATATGCTTCAAATATGTCTAAAGACAGCTTTTCTATTTTTTTTTTTTGTTATGACCAACTTGACGGCACCATCGTAAGGATGGATGGATGGATGTTAATGGCTATACCCTTTGTAACAGGTGGTAGCTTGCGCCACCTAGCCTATGTCTAAGAAATACGCCTCGGCCAGGGCCGGTAGACAATCTTTTGTACGGAATACTGCGGTGCGACCGGGGCTATAAGAAATGCAGGGCGTGGAGAGCCCACGAGCATCTCATTATCGCTCCGCAGCCAATCAGATTGCGGCATTAGCCGAGTGGGACACCCGTGAACGATTCACGCCTAAGCAAAAAGAAGCATGAACATGATAGGCCACGCTCTGCGCTTTCTTAGGCTGTCAGTGACATTGGAATGCCACGTTAAAGCTGCCTGTCTATACACCAAATCTCTGACGCCACGCTACTGCGGTGGCACTGCTGTTTGCGTTGCGCATGAGCAGACGCTTTATCTCACGCGTATGGGGTTTGTGCGCACGCGCAGTGCCCACTCCTGGTGTGGGCGAACGCGGGCTCGTTTTGTAAACGGTGCGTTGCTCTACATTACACCCCTGTTTCACGGGCATTCGAAAGGCCTTCGGAACAAAGGCCTTTATAAGATCGGCGAATTAGCGTGCATTCCTTGTTCTGCGCGTGCCCCTTGGCGTGAAGGCTGATTTTCCGGTTCTATAGGGCCTTCGGGGTGAAGGCCTTTGACGAGATAGTAAAACAGGAGTAATATAGTCTAAAAAAAACAAAAAAAAAAACTAAAATAACCTCAGAGTTCATCGAAGAGGAAGGAAAAAATGGCTTAAAGGCTTCCAGGTATTTCGTGCTTTTTTTCCCCCCCCTTTCAGCACTTCTTTTTTTGACAACCCTAGTGATTTGATTTTGTCGTTATACTGTATGGCGTAAGAAAGCCTTGTTTTTTCTGACTTTTTGCAGTGACGTAAGTACTCGTTTCATCCACATTTTTTAATAATTCCTTTTTCAGAATGAAGGCGCCGCCAGTGCTGTTCCTAATAGGTATGTTCAATGGCAGTTCGACTACCAGATATGATCCTACATGGAATGATACGATGGGAAACGTTTTAAAAATAACTGTAGAGCGCAGGAACGATTTACTGCAGCAACAAGGAGAGGTCGTTTGGTGCTTGTCATTTATACCCAAACATATTGCTTACGGCCGACTTTTGAAGAGTACAAAACAAAACAACTCTATGCAAATATTAGGCCTGGACACTCGACCTTTCTACCTTGACAGAGTCAGAAGGAATGAGAGGCATAAAGTAACAAAGACAAGGGCCCCTGCATCGAATTTCTAACCTCTCTAACACGAGGAGCAAGACAAGATATTCTACCCATCACAAACGTTGTGACGGGCGGAAATAAATGAAAAGTTTGTTTGCTTTGTGAAGTTAAGAGACAATCAAGGGCCACTGGATTGAAAGACATACATGGAAGGGAATAAGATATCTAATTATTATTTTTTTCTCTGAAACGTGCAAAGCGTTAGTGCAATAACTTTGGTACTCATTTAGACAGTTCTGAATGTTGTGTTCATCGTACTGAGCAAGTTTGCCCCCAACAGATTTTCAAAGCTGGTAAGAAAGGGAAGAACAATCGACTGACTGCTTTTTTTTTTTTTTTTCTTTTTTTTTTTTTTCAGGGGCAGTGCTTCTTCAAGGTGGATCCGCGGCTCGGGTAAGTTAGCCTGAGCGTCAGCCGTGCCTCTTGTTAGTCCTAACTTAAAATTATTAACTATACAAATCTAAGACAAAAATGGATAAATGTTGCGCGAACAATATATTGCGTAAAAAAAAAAGGCCCGATTATTATTATTTTTTTTTTTTAAGGTGCGCAGTTGGAAATGTTTGAAACAGGGACCACGTGTTATCAAGAACGCTCACAAAAATTAGGAAAGTGTACATTTTGTTATTGTACCGGAAGATTGCCGACAATTCTTGCTTGAACAAATTGGGTAGCCTTATTTATTGTTTGGAGGACTGACTTCCAATACTTATACCAAAGTTTGTAGGTCTCTGAATGGTGGTTCTTTTGTAGAGCCGTCGGGTATTCGTGGTTCGTAGCACTGAAACAACTGTAAGGAGGACGCAGGTAAAAGGAATGGCATATAGAACACAATACCAGAGTTCGTCGCCATAATTGCGATGTCACGTAGGAGCGACCACGATTACTTAGAGACGTACCAATGACTACGAGAATGGAAACACCGGTTGATAAAAAGTTTTATGTACGGTGCCCAGAAATTAATATGGTCTAATATGCCCCTATACACGCGTGTCTTTAGAGAGCGGTGATAGCTGATAACTAATTACATTGAACAGATTTAATGCTCCTTCCAATTTCTCGTGCGTTGAAAGTATGTGACTGGAAACTTCGTTGATCGCTTGAGTTCCCTTTAACCTTTCGATATTATTAAACTCTCCGGCACGCTCTAGGGGCATTTAATTGTACAAGAGGTGCGTTCAGCACGAGTGAGACAGATAAAGAATGTACCGTACGCTTACAATGCTATATGCTGCTTTAGATAGTACCATAAACTTAATAAAACGTCATTTACATATTAACTTACTTTCGCGTGGCAAACCATTTTTCTTTTTTTTTTTTTTTTTACATGGTTAAATAAATTAGGAAAGAAAGACTCGTTTCTATTAGACGGAGCGCTTCCACACTCCAATAAGGCGGGTTCGAATTTCGACTGGTTACCCTGCCCCGGAAACCCGGTTCGCTTAACTCGAACGCGCATAAGTCGAACGTCGGAAAGGCGAGGGACGGGAGTTTGCAGGGAGGACGCCCCGATGACCTTGGTGCAGAGATAGGCCTCGCGTAACCTGCTCTCGCGTTCCTTCGCGTCACGCCCAGGCAACGTCAAGCGTCAATTTCACTGCCGTCGAACACCGTCGGAAGATGAACGCGTGCGTGCACTACGCCTTCTCATTCATGAGCAACGAATACGTTACTCATCTTGTTTTGCTTAACAAATACGTTACAAAAAACGCTTCTTTTTTTCTTCCTTCGTAATTTTATTTCAGTTTTAAGTAAACGCGCAAAAACAGTTTTGGATGTTCTTTTTAAACCAGTTTTTAATTTTTTTTTTTTTTTTTTTTTTTTTTTTTTGCGTCACAGAATATATTTTTCTTTGAGAAGAGTACAGGAGGCTATAGAAAGCCAAAAGCCTGCTTTTTGGTACCAAAGCTTGAAAATATAGTGGACTATTGGTTACCTCCTTTCCTTCGAAAACGTTTCGCCCGCCAACTTCTCGATGACGAGCACAACTGGTCAACAATGCGCTCGTCAACGATCAATCCGTCGACGAACGTTTGGACCCGCGTTGATAAGTGCCGTGACATTTAGATTTGCGATGATAAGTGCCGTGACCGCACTTATCATCACTTGAGAATGACCAGTTTTATGTTGTGTTTAAAAAGCACGGTGGAAGCTTGGAGTCATCGGTTCGGGTGAAATGCTACGTCACGACCACGTGATTTCCCAAATTGCTTTTAAGTTGAGGAGGAAAGCTAAGGAAAAAGTTGAAAAGTCATTTCATGGTCCCTTTAACCAGTAAGCGGCTCTAACGTTTACCCTTTATACCGACACACGCATCGGCAACGACCTAGCGTAAATCTTCGCGCGACTAAGTATATTGCTACGCCCACTGAAAACATTCAACCTCAAATCAAATTCTACGACGCGTACATTTAACGTCGCAGGGTCTACCTCGAGACGTAAAGAAACAAAACCGGTGTTTTCGAGCGCAGCGACTCCCATCGGCCCGACTTATTACACACACTTAGAGAAAGGCCGCTCAGAAAGATCTCTGCCATTCCAGACGAATCATCTTAAGGCGACGGATATGCGTGTAAGAGGCGGCGGCTCCGCCGACAGGAACGACATGCGGGTCAGGGAGGCCGAGCTCGACTTCCGTGGTCAAGGCACTCCCCTTGTCAGAAGCCGGCCATCTGCCGCCGCTACCTGAGACCGATTTCCCCTTCCGCTGCCTTTCGTGCGTCGTCAGACTCGTCCACGAGTCCCGGGATCGTTCGCGAACGTAATAGCGCGAAATCTAGCGGCACAATGTCCCTCCAGGACAGTCGCATCATCGACGCACGTTTTTATACAGAGTAGAGAGAGACACAAAGTCGTCCCAGACCGCTTAACGCAACCTAAGCAAGCTATTTTAGAGAAGGTATAGGGACGCACGGCGCCTGCGGCCGACGCTAAATTTAGTCGCCGCCCCTCATGGTCAAGCGGTTTCTTCCTCGCAGCCCGTCGGCCCGGTCCTCGCATATATGGTCCCCATCTTTTTGAAGACGTGATCGCCTAATCTACATCATCTCGAGGCGTCTGTCGCCTTGTCGAATTGCTTATATTCCAGTCAATCGTTGTGGTCCTTCTCTCGCTTCGAGCCGCGTGCATGCTCCGGGGAGGCTTCTCTTTTTTTCATCCTCTTTTTGGGACTCTCGCGCTCCATTGTTTGCATAAAATAAGGTCGAGCGGAACGAGCTGTTTGGCAGCGGCAGACGCGTTCTATTGCTTCGCGCGGGGCTCCCCGCTGTGCGCCCGATGGCTGTCTCTTCTTTTCGTGGAGGGAGGAAAGGGGGGAAAGTGGCTCTCCTTTTTTAGATGTTTCCAACTATGACATGTGTTCGGATGCGTTTTAGCCCCCTCCCCCCCCCCCCCCCCCCCCCCCCCCCCCGCCCCTTCTTTGTCGGCTACATTTTTCTTAGCCTCCCCTTTTCCTATTTTCACGACGATCGTCTGAGGAACGAAGCAAAATGTAAACAAACGGGTAACAGCAGCCCAAAGCGAAAAGCCTGGAGGAGCTACCACGCACCCGGAAGACGCAGTTCGCGGAACGTGGTGGAAAATGTCGATGCACACCCCGGCCTGAGAGCGTAATTATCCACGCAAATAAAGGAAACGTCGAATGCCGAGCGGCTTGCGGGGGAAGGAGAGGGGATGGCCCGAAGCGGCATGCTGTCGCATTTGGGGTTACATCCGTCGCGCGGAGCCTCGGCGGAGAGTCCTTTTTGGATCGTAAACGCGGTTATTAAGTGCCCCGCTTGTTTCCTCGATGACCCTTTCAAAAATGGAAATATAGTTTTCGTTTTTCTTTTTTTGCCTTTTGTGTGTGTGAGTGTGTGGTACCTTTGCATTGAGGGCAGAGGTTTGGATTTTGCGACGCGTCGTTTACTTGAAGCTTGCAGCGTTGAACGCTGCGCACGGTGAAGAAAGGTAAAGTACACACCTGATACATTGATCGATCGATCGATCAATTGATTGATTGATTGATTGATTGAACGCGTTTTTATTTAATAAATACTGCTCCGTTCTTGTCTTTTGGCAGATGAGAATGCTGATATTTTAACGCCAAAACTTCGTTCGCAGTGAGCGCGATAATTTATGGAGTGGAGCACCACTTGATCCCGATGAATTTTAGGCAGGGTCCATTTTTAGGCGACTAAAGGTTCGTTCATCTTGTTCATCATTACTAACTTCGATCTCCAGAACTGAATCTAAAGCAAAGCCGCATGTCGATCGAAAGAGAGTCTCCAGCTACGTGGAGCATAAGCAAAATAATCAATCTATCGCACATAGCCTGGAAGTTGCTAAACATGAACGTGGGTCTCGGGCTCAAAATACTTCCGCTTTCTGCAACCTCCTCTTGTTTTCTAGTTTCCAATTTACTCTAGCGCAACAATACCGCTCTTGTCTGAAGCGGCCGTAAAAACCAAATATCATTGGCCTCCCAGCCGAGGCGTAACGGATATATTTTATTGTAGAGTCTAAACAAAAAACAAAAAAAAAAGCAAAAAAATATCTCACAAAATTACGGCTAATGAAATACGGTTGGTATCAGTTGTAACACCACGAAGCGTAACTGTCAATGCCCGTGGTCATTAATAGTACACACAACAGGAACGGCAGTCTACACAAATAAGCGTGCGATCAATTATTTTTTTCATAACCTATATATATATATATATATATATATATATATATATATATATATATATATTAATTTGTGGTTGCCAGATACTCGTCACTTTTTCTTAGAGATATCTGATAAACGTGGCACCATAATATGTTTTCCTCTCCGTTTCATTTTGCCTCCAGTAACTTTTCTGTATTCCCTGCATGAGTACTCGCGGGTCAAGTACACCCCCAAACAACAAACCGTTTGGAAAAACTGATGAATTGTACAATAATTGAATTTGCAACTTTCCCACTTCATTTCAGCGACTCCTGTGAAACATACCGGAAATAATAGTTCGGGTGAAATCCCCTAACCATTTTTAGTTAATATAATACCTTCGCGTCACATGCATGCATGGTACGATTACATTGTCTGCATCCCTCCATGCCTGCCTGTATGTTGGTACACCTGGTATTCTTTCGAAATTTGTCTCCACATCCTTGTACAAAATGTCGAGACTAAAAAAAAAAAAAAAAAAAAAAGCATATCCTTAGTTGCGCATTTTTTTTTTTTTATATGCAACGCGACTCACAAGCGCACAGGAAACCCGACTAGAACGTTAACTGAGACCCGCCAACACTATTTACGACAGAGGGCAAAAGTCGATCGCAATTCGCACGCGATTCCTATCGCAGCAGCACAACCCTATAGGAATAACTCCCGCACATAATAAAAATCGAATTTCCGAATATACCGGCAATTCACCAAACCATGGCCGACATCGTGCGAAATTGCAGTAATCGCAGCGGGTTCGTCAAAGTCAAAAGGTATAGGAAAGCAAGAGCTTCAAAAAGCCAATCATGTTTGTTTTAGCGACGCTGCGAGCTTTCATTTTCGAAAACTGAATTGCACCTTCGCTCCACGCACGCCAGTCTCCAAGCATCCACGCGCCGTTGGCGACGTACAAAGGCATCCCGTCTGAAGACAAAGTTCAGGGAGTCAGCCGCTTTTACACCAGGCGGGGGTCACGAAATTCTCCGGAGCAACAAAGTAAAAGGGCCGCTCTCTCCCCTCTTTCGTCGTTCCACGCGCACTTTGGCCACGCGCACTCTCGTAAAGGAAGCGCCGGTTACTTCCTCTTCGCTCCATCGAACAGGAACATAAAGAAACCCACGCGAGCGAGCGCAATTGACCGTTATAAATAATTAATCGAAGCGGCCCACGAATTGAATTATACCACCGAGCTATGCAGAGTGTGTGCGTTACGAATCCTGACTCGAGGATGACCCGTCATCAGTGAATCGGGGTGACCACGGGCGAGGAGACGAATCGATCTTCGGTGCGACTTGATTGCCCGGCAGGTCGACCAGGAAACAGATCTGACGACATGTGTTGCGGTCTTCCTTATATATATGACGGACTTTTTTTTCTCTCCCTCTCTCCAGCGTCCGTCGGCCGGTTACGGTGGTGCCGACGAATTCCTGAACCAAGTCGGAGGTGGGACCACGGCAAGACCCCAAGACTACGGCGACGGGCGCGATTACACCACCGGTGATCTCCCGGCTCCGCACCCGGGCGGTCACGACGCCTATTCCAACGGGGACGACGGCTACGGAAAAAATGGGCACGGTGGACCTTCCACGACCGGGCCTGCGGGTCCGTTCGGAGCGACTGGAACCACCGGTCCAGCCCATCCGCACCACGGAACTGGTGCAACCGGTAGTCCCTTCGGCCACACGGGGCCGGCCGACGCGACAGGAACCACGGGCTATCCTGGCTTCGGACACACCGGAACCACCGGCCACGGTGGTCATCATGCTGGAACCACCGGCCACACGGGTCACCATGGTGGTACAACCGGCCCCACCGCCCACGGAGGAACAATCTTTCACACCGGGCACCACGGTGGAACTACTGGCCCCACGGGCCACGGTGGGACAACCTTTCACACAGGTCACCATGGCGGCGCCACCGGCCACACTGGACCAGGAGGACAATTTGAACCCTTCAGGGCTACCGGCGGTCCTGCGGGACATTCGGACCATCTCAGACCCGGTCCTGCGTACGTTCCAGGAGAGCCAGGGGGTCCCGGTTATGGTCCATCGGGACCTTCCGAGCCCTTTCAGGGGCCATCCGGTCCTGCCGGACCATCCTTTGGACCTGCCGGTGGACCCGGAACAACCTTCGGTCCTGGGGGTGATCAGACCGGACCAACTGGGCCAGCTTCGGGACCATTTGGCGTAACCGGACCGAGGACACCATTCCCGACCTTCCCATCGACTAGGCCTGCTGGTCATGCTGGTACTGCCACGGCGGGAGGACCTGGCACATTCGGGTTCACGGGACAACCGGCCGGGCCAAGTCATCACGGCGGTCCAGGGGGACCTGTTGGTCCGGCAGATTTGGGACTACCGGAGACTTCGCAGCCGCCCAGTGGTCCTGGATTTTCACACGGAGCTCCCCATGGCGGGCAGCAACAGGGCGGCGACTATGACGATGGGCAGTACCACGGCGATGATGGACAAGTCTGGCCCGCCATCAGAGGCACTCCAGGACAGGACTACCCGATCTACAACACCGTGCCGCAGACCGGATTTAGCTGCAAGAGCCACCAGTATCCAGGTTATTATGGCGACACAGAAGCACAATGTCAGGTACGTTTGTGAAGTCATTGGAATTTAAGACAGTGATAAAGCCGAATAAAGTAAGAAACGCCGAAGATAACTATAAACAAAACTGAAATAATGACTAGAAGAAAACGAGCTATGTCCAAACTTTGAAACACATTAAACTAAGTAAGACAAAAATAAAAAAGAAAAAAATTGTTTTTTTTTTTTTGTGTGTGTGTGTGGGGGGGGGGGGGGGGTCACCTCAGACGTGGAATTATTACATGCACATCATATTTCCTATCAATCCAGTGAACATTGAAACCATATCCGCAGCGCAATGAAAGCGCCTGGACACCTGAAGCCGGATTTGCATCCACCATCGAAACTTAAAATAATCGTCGTGCGCGTACGACAGTGAAGAAAAACGGCTTTCTTAATTAGTTAGGCTTTTTCAACTCTTGTGAGTTACATTCAGCTCCAGCTAATTACGACGGCGTTGTATTTAGAGTGTTATGTTTACAAAGCATGTTTAGTCAGTCAATTCTTATAGGACATGGCGTAAAGACCCACTGATAGTAAGAGCGTTTTTTATACTTTTTGCAACAAGTCAATAGCGACCTGGCTCGGAATTCCGATTTGCATGAGGATTTAATTCATATCTGGGCATCGCTATTCCATTGCCTCTTTCTACAAACGGCAGCTTGATTGGTTGTTGCTGCGGCGTAAAGTGGGCTCGTGGGTGTTGTTCATATAAAGCTTGTTCTGTCCACGGAACTTTACGCTATTGACGATGAATGAACGAACGTGCGTGCGTTTACGCACCGGCCTTGAGTAACATACATGTGTAGAAAAGGGTGACTTGATGGCAGTTAAGTAATACGGTTTTTTTTTAACGAGTATATCTCGTAAATAAACAAAGTAAAAAAATTACTGGTCACTGTGTTCTCTTTTTTTCAGTTCACACAGAAACTTCGCGCAGAGGAAATAATGCTGAAGAGTCAGTCAAAAAAGGCTGTGGATAATAACGCATTGTAGTTGTTTTACTTGTTCCTACTAACGTCTGGCTTTTTAATCGACAGGTCTTCCACATATGCCAAGAAGACGGCAGGCATGATGCATTCCTGTGCCCCAACGGGACAGTATTCAACCAGAGGTTCTTCGTCTGCGACTGGTGGTACAACTTCGACTGCAACGAAACCCCTCAGTTCTACGACCTAAACTCCCAGCTGTACGTGGTCCCTGAAGGCGGATTTCAAGGTGGCCCATCTGGAGGACAATCCGTTGGCCCAGGCGTCGGACCCGGAGTCGGTCCAGGCGTCGGGCCCGGAGTCGGTCCAGGCGTCGGACCCGGAGTCGGTCCCGGTGGTTACGAAGGACCTACACACCACGACGGCGCGACACATCATGGCGGTGTCACCCACCCCGGAGGCCCGACTCACCATACTGGTCCTGCCCACCACACTGGTCCTACTCATCACACTGGTCCTCCCCATCACACTGGTCCTGCCCACCATACTGGTCCGCCCCATCACACTGGCCCTGCCCATCACACTGGCCCTGCCCACCACACTGGTCCGCCCCACCACACTGGTCCTGCCCACCATGGTGGTCTGGCGCATCACGGCGGTCCAGGAGCTGACCACACCGGACACACCACGCACAGACACCCCGGAAGCACCACTCCTGGCGGATCTTTCACGGGAGTCCCCGGGGGTGGATTCCCTGAGGATAAATCACCCTTTACTGGCGGTTTCGGTGGACCAACCCACGGCGGACCAACTCATGGCGGCACTGGACATACCGAACCGGGACACGACGGCGGCGGACACACTCACGGCGGACCTACCCACGGCGGTCTCGGACACGGCGGTCCAAGTCACGGTGGAGATGCCGACAGCGACGATTACGGCGACGCTGGGAGACCGGGCTATGGTGGCGGATCGCGAGGTGGAAGACCGACGGGCGGCCTGGGTACGACACCCACCGATTACTCGACTGGAGCGGGCTTGGGTGGCGACGACTACGCGACTGGCGGAGGCAAGCTGACCACAGGGGCAGGAGGACACGGACACCACACGACGCATCACGAGCTGCCTACGCCTCACCGCGGCGGCGGAGGCAACGGTGAAGACGCGGCTGAAAGAGGACAGCTCAAATACCCGAGCTACTACTGAGCGGATCGCCCTAGGTTGAGTGGTTGTGTAAAATACTTTGTGCGTGGCGGGTTGGTGCCACGACGGTGCCGACACGCGAGTGAGTGTGCGTGCTTCACCTCTTTTGCAAAATCAGTCTGCATTCCCCAGTCGCGAGTGTCTGTGTTCATCGCTTGAGTACGTGAAATGTATTTGTTAACTTGTTTTCGAGTATATTATTATATCTATAGAGGTTGAAATAAACGTTGTTTTTGTTGAGACTGCGTTTTGTCTGCTTAAGCTTCGGCGAAAAATGAGCAGCTCCGGCTTGGATCCGTTCTTATGCGGAGAGCAAGTCGTCTGCTTCTTGCGCAGGAGTTGCGATGACGTCAGAAGGACGCCGAGATCTGATTGGCTTTGACTGAAAGGATAGTGGATAGACCTCTATGCCAGATGCCTTCAGGCATCTAGCATTGAGGTCTACCCACTATCCTTTCCGTATTGAGTCTACCCAATAATATATATATTTTAATCAGCCAATAAGAGTTTGGCGTTTTGACATCATCGCAACCCCTGTGCAAGAAACAGACGAACTTGCGCTCCGCGTTGAGTTGCATTTGTTGAGACCTCGTCAAACATACCTCGGTATCATTGCGCCGGTTACTCCGTGTCTATCGCTTTGTCATATGGGTATGCAACGATGCATTCTTACCATTTTAACGACTCAGAAGTGACAGAATTTATATTTTTCGCGCAAGAATTTAGACCTACACATAGCGCGGTGAAGAATTGCTACTCTGAACAGCGCGTAACATGGAACGTCGACAAATCAGCAAAATCGAAAAACACAATCATTTAGATATATTTATTAGCTAACGAATCTGCTGAAGCAAAAGGCCGCGATGAAAGGTAACTAGCCAATCCTTTCTATGGGAGAAGCTCACCACTGTTTTGAAGAAAAACAACTCGCAGTCGCTATATCGAGCAGCCCGATATACGGTCCCCCGCCCCCCCCCCCCCCCCCCCCAAAAAAAAAAATCTGAAGCACACACAACCAAACACAATTCTCCAAGAGGTTATTTGGCACTGGAGTAACTATTAAATAAAGATGTCGCAATACCAGTTTAAAAAAGAAACTGCACTGCGCATTCATAATGTTCACTGCACTCGTTGTCTTTGTGGGTATCACCACGGCTAAACCAATAGCACGCAGAGAAAAAGCCCAGAATCTCGCCGCATTCACTGCGCGTGATTGGTTTGGTCGGTGGTAGCAGACGCACCAAGAGGACGAGTGCCGTGACGAAGCACTTTTGGCGCTGCCCGATTGGCCCCATCGGGTAGTACCGGTGGCTGCGGTCTGACCTAAAGTGAAACGGAGCAAAACGGAACTGTGCCAAGAATGCTTCGAATAAAAAAAAAATGCAGTGTCATCCCTAGCTGTAACGGTCCAAAGACGATAAGTCGTGGGTTTCCCTAGTACTAGATGTATTTGAAAAAGAAAAAAAAAATTTCAGGAGGACACCTAAGACTGCTTACGTGTAAGAATACGAAAACATTCGTACACGCGGCACATTCCTACAAGCAGCGCGCCCCACCGTCCTCCGATGAGGCCGCCCGCCCGCCGGCCTCTGCGGCGGCCGCGCGTGCACCACCCTCTCTCTTTTATTCCCGCGCGCAGTCCGCAGCCCCAGGAAGAGGGCTTCACTGTGGGGTGGCGTTCCTTAGAACTATAACGCGTGGCAGTCAATGGGAATTTATTGCCCGCTTCGCTCAGCCGGAATTGAGGTGCCGTTTCGCTCAGCCGGATTTAGGTGCCGTTTTTCGCGGTCACAGACAACGCCGGCTGCGCTCCATAAGACAGTTAACGCATTCGCATAACAAAAAAATAAAAGAACAATTTAGAGGTAAATTTTAGAGTGTTTTTAGCCCGTGAATATAAATATCACGTTCGTTTTCGCCGAAGATCTAATTAAACGCGAGAAAACACGAACAACCTTCGACCAGTCGTTACGTCCTACGCAGATCTCTCGGGCGCCAATAAGCGTGTGTCGCACGTGTAGGCAGCGCGTACGAATGCGAGCTTGCCAGCTATTCGCCTCGAGACACAAAATGAGTTTAGGGGAAGCCTGCTCTTGTTTCTTCATGGTTCTCTATATATGAGGCCCGTGGCGATTCCATCTGTCCACACTACGGGTGGAGACAAGGCATCCACACTAACCGCTCATTCACACTGGAAGCGGATCCGCGCTCGCAAAGCGGTTGCGAACGCGGTTGTATAAAGATCCAGTACATTTGCACGCGCACTCGATGACATCAAGTGCGCGTGAAATTGTACTGGATCTTTGTACAACCGCGTTCGCAACCGCTTTGCGAACGCGGATCCGCTTCCAGTGTGAATGAGCGGGGAGAGGATACTGCGCACGAGCTCTTAGCAGTTCATTCCAGTGCGCGAGCGCTGCATTGGAGTCGCCCATGGCTTGGGCCTCTCGTCTGTAGCGTTCGTTTTTCATCGACTAAGTGTAAAACGCCGTAGTCCTGCTTTTCACTACATAAGCCGTGCCGATCGAATATTTATCAGTCGTGACGTCGTTTTTTAAGCTTTATAAAAAAAGCGAGAGTGCGTGTGCACTCTCGCTATTTTCATAAAGGTACTGAAGGTACCTTTGATAGGTACTGAAGATTCGCGAACGCGGAGATTCCGAACACTCCGGATATGACGTCACGCTACGGGAAGGAGGGGCTTCGCGGTACTTTGAAAATATTTTTCTGTATAGCCTACGTGCACCAAACTGAAAAAATATATAATCTGGGTATTCCTGATCTTGGAGGTCAAATGAAGACGATTTAAGTGTTTTTCTTCAAGTACAGATCCGCTTCAATTTCCCTTCAATTGGAGCCTCGTCAACGATTTTCTTTTTTGAAATAACGTGCACGTGTGATGAAGGGTGTACACATGTTGATCGATTTCGGCGGAAGATCAAAAGTTAGCCAAAGTAAACAGAAATATTATCATAAAAAAATCCCAAGACGTGGATGTTGATCCTAGCCACGCGCCTACACGGTTAAAACACTGTTAGAATTCGTGGATTTCCATCGTCGTACTAATGAACCACGGGCGCCAACGGGTCGATCATTACCGAGCCTGAGCTGACCGGTAACGCAATGTTCGCGGATCCGATGTGTGACCCGAGTTCGGCCGTGACGCGTCAGGCATAGGGTGCCTTCATGTGCGCTTTGCTAGGTGGAGACATCTGGCCATTTTGTCCCACACTTTTATTTTTCTCTTTTGTTCAGAAGCGCGTGAAAGAGCGCGTCCTTGCACGCGCTCGTGGTTGTTGTTGTTGTTGTTGTTGAGTGTTGTTACACACGGGAAGAGGGGATGCCTGCACGTAATGTTAGCCTCCTTGGGCAGGGGCAAGACTCGCACAGGCGGGGAAAGAGGGTGAGAAAAGAAGAGAAGAGGGGTTGGGGGGTGATTTGGTCACCAATCACTGGATGGGTAGGGTCGAATCAGGAGGCTATTTTCTTGAGGGAGGGGGGACACTGCAGAACTGTCTTCTGGTATGGAGATCACAGATTAGTCGATGGCAGTTGAGACGAGAAGGCGTGGCTGGTCTAGGTGGCGGGCCGGTGGGCTAGAGGCGCGTTGCAAGTCCAGTGGCTTTGAGGTACTCAAGAAGAGATTTATAGACAAGTTCTCTTCTTCGTCGACCTCCGGTAGGAAAAAGGATATCGTTCTTTTGAGTCACAGTTGTGCTGGCACTTAGGATGGTGGTAAAAAGGGACCGTCGAGCTTGATCGTAGTGAGAACAGTTTAGGAGGACGTGGTCAAGGTCCTCTGGGACATTGCATTTGGCACAGTTGGGTGTACTAGACCTGGAGATCTTGTGAAGTGTCGTTGATGTGTAGGCGCAGTTTGCACGAAGGCGATGGAGCAGCGTGGAATCTGATCTGGTTAGTTTTGACTCGGGGAGTGATGGAGGAGGATTTCCGCTTGCAACTTCTGTATGGGGGTGACGCATTGTGGTAATTAATTTGCACAGTCTGCGCGCTTCGCAATAACGTGGGATGAAAAGACTGGGTTCTTCTTCCTTGTGTGCCTTTGAAGCAAGGGCATCGGCGCGTTCGTTGCCGGGGATACCCATATGTGACGGAATCCATTGAAAAGCCAACTGCCACCCTCGCATGCAAAGTTTTCGGGCCTTGTCGGCCACACATTGGGCCAGAAACGGAGCTTGGTCTGAAGCTTCCAAATTGGATAACGCACTTCGAGAGTCGGAGAGAACAACAGTCTTGCAAGGATTGAGGTTGTGAAGCGCATCTAATGCCGCTGCTAGTGCAGCCAGCTCCGCTGTCGTTGACGTGGTTGCGAAGTTGAGGCGGTGTGATGCTTCGATTCCGGCATCGGGAATGACGAATGCCGCTGTAGATGTTGCAGTTGAGGGATTCGTTGACCCGTCAGTAAAAACTTGGAGCCAACCATTGTACGTGCTTGTCAGTTGGTCAGCTGCAAGCGACCTTCCGACAGTGGCCGAGATAGAATTCTTCTTCGGGAAATAAGGAAGCGTTTCTTCTACAATGTACGGCGGTTGGGTTATGAAAGGTGCCGGAGGAAAGTGATGGCAATTAGGAGGTCCAATTTGTAAGTTAAATTCTTGTACACATCGACCTATCTGCGAATCAAAACGCTCTTCAATGTTGGACAGCAGTGATGTCGCAGATCGTACTCCATACATACGAGTGATATGATTCATTGCACTTATTCTTATGTGCATAGCTACTGTTTGATCCTTGGCCTCTACGAGTGTCGCCGTATTGCCCGCGAAGCGTGGCAGTCCAAGGCACTGACGGAGGGCAATACGGTGAAAACGTTCAAGTGTGGTCATTTGATGAGCCCTGATTGTGATGAGAGGTAGGCTGTATAAAATTCTTGAGAGGATAAGGCCACGATAGAGAATCAGAAGTCCCTGAGGAGGCAGTCCAGACTTCTGGCGATGGAAGTGACGGAGCACAGTTAATAATTTAGTGCACTGCGTTACAAGTCGTTTTATCTCGGGTCTCCATGTAACGTGGTCATCTATTTCCATCCCCAAGTATCGGTACGTTGAGACTCTTTGGATCGGTATTCCTTTGATGGTTGGCGTATTTGCAACTTTGCGGTTTGGATGTCGACCAGGGCGGTAACAAAGGAAGGCTGTTTTGCTTGTAGATAAAGTAAGTCCTAGTTCTTCTAGAGTAGAAGTCGTGCTGTCAAGAACTTTCTGAAGCCTTTTGCCGAT